CTCATGCCCCGCGTCCTCAAGGGCTGGCGCACCGAAGTAGGTGCCTCATCCTTGACTTCAGGCCTTACTACACCTTCTACCTACTGCGCGCTCGAGCCGATCCCCCCCTGAACTCTCATGATACAATTCACTCATAACAACCCTCCCCAGTCCTCGACACCTCCATTCTCCCCGAGATGGGCTCGCTTGGCCTCCTTGGGCCCACTATTCAAGGCTACGGCTGTGCGGGCGTAAGCAGCGTCGCCTACGGACTCATCGCTCGTGAGATCGAGAGGTACGCGTTTATCCTCCCATTCATCAGATGACGTCCAATCTTGTTCGTACTGTGTAATTATGCTGTAAAGAGTGGACTCGGGCTATCGCTCTACGGCATCTGTCCAGTCGTCCCTCGTCATGCACCCTATATATGCATTTGGATCGGAGGCGCAGAAGGAGAAGTATCTGCCTGCTCTAGGTGCGTGTCTGCTTATTTATATTTGTCTACCCACCTACTCCTTCCACCAATCCTGCACCTTGTTCCCGAGTCGCTAGTTGTAGATACATTCACTCAGCTCTTTGCACCGGCTATTACTCTTATTTTGACTGAACTAATGTTGTCACGTACTGTACTAACATGTCCATGTTTACACAGGAAAGGGAGAACTCATCGGCTGCTTTGTGTGTCACCCTCTATTCATCGTTATTAAGGCCTCTTAATTGTCACGACAGGGCTTGACCGAGCCCAATCACGGCTCTGATCCAGCGGGCATGGAGACCACTGCCGAAGAGGCACCCGGGCAGGGTGGTTTCATTCTCCGCGGCTCGAAGACGTGGATCAGCAATGCGCCTGTTGCGTGAGTAGTCGCATTGAACTTATGCCGCGCATCCCACTAGCATATTGACGCTGCCGACGGCAGTGACCTGTTTGTCATCTGGGCCCGATGCAAGTGGGACCAGAAGGTCCGCGGCTTCTTAGTTGAGAAGGTGCGTGCATATACCTCGCACGCCGACTCGGGCTGACATTCCATGTGTAGGGCACGCCAGGTCTATCTGCCCCGGCGATCAAGAACAAGCTTGCGCTGCGCGCGTCGCTCACGGGTTCTGTCTTCCTGGATAGCGTCAAAGTGTCACAGGAGGCGCTTTTGCCAGGGTCGAGAGGCCTGGGTTCGCCGTTCAGCTGCTTGAACAATGCAAGGTATGCCCTTACATCATTTGTCATATCCCCCTCCCTGCTGCTATGGTAGGACGTCTGCTCGGTAAGATATACGTTGCTGACATGGATTGCTGCTAGGTACGGCATATCATGGGGCGTCATGGGCGCCCTCGAGGACTGCATCGCACGTGCCCGGGAATACGCGCTCGAGCGGCATCAGTTTGGCCGCCCGCTCGCGTCGTTCCAGCTCGTACAGAAGAAACTCGTTGACGCGCAGACGGAGGTCACCACGGGGCTGCTCGCGAGTCTGCAGGTGCGTTCATCATATCTGCCGTGAGAGCGAAGACGGGTTATGATCGAATGGGAATGCGGTAGGTCGGCCGTCTGAAAGATGCGGGGAAAGTTGCGCCGGAGATGATCAGCTTGGTGAAACGGAATAACTGTGGCAAGGCGCTCCAGCATGCACGCGTCGTAATGGACATCCTGGGTGGGAACGCGTGCGCAGATGAGTAAGTTCCCTGTCCTCACTGTTGCGTATTCATCAGTAACGGGGCATTTCGCAGGTACCACATCGGCAGGCATGTAGCGAATCTGCAGGTGACGAACACGTACGAAGGTGCGCTTGATCATATCTTTGGTTGGGTAGATGTTTGGACTCACGCGTTTGCTGTTTCCAGGCACGCACGTAAGTTCTGACTGTAGATCATGCGAATTACGATCTGAGTTTGACGCTCCTGATTGCTGCTTAGGATATCCATACCTTGATTCTGGGCAAAGCTATGACGGGCATTCAGGCGTTTGCGAACTGATCGCGCACGAGCCGTCTTACCTACTAATCTCTGACATGTACGGTAGCAGTCACTGGAATGTTTCCTGGGACCCAATGCCATAGGGAGAGAGAAATAAATACAGGTGTATTATGCTCTAGGTGATGGGAGACAGCTACATAAGGAACAAGTCCAGGATGAATGCGAGACAGTATGATGAGTTCAAAGGAATAGATAAAGCAATGCGAAATATATATCGGGTAGAAGACATGAAAGTAGAAGACTTCGCCGCCTTATTACTTCCAAGCGGGCTTCTCGCCCCGGTCACTTCGAACTGGACGGTCCCTCGTCACGACGAACGGACCCGCTTGCTGCCATACCACGAGCGCTGCGTCGATTCCCAGAGCTAATTGTGACAGTCCCTGCGTCTTCTGCCTGCTCAACCCAGGCTGCGCTCCGACGTCCAGATGTCTGGCTTGACGATCGTGCCTTAGAAGCTAACCCTGTAACGCGGGTCATGACGCCAGGCTTCGTCTGACTACTTCCCTCCCGGCCTTGCTCCTGAGGCATAGACTGCGGAGACGATCTCAATGTCTTGGACGTCGAAGACGTGGCCTTTGCTTTACCCTTCGCCACGTCGCGTGTGCGTTAGGCTACTGTGCCTTCATTATGACTGGAGCGAGTGCGCGGCGCACCGAAATCCGATTCTGTAGCCTGAGTGGTAACCTTCATTTTGTCCGCTGATGCGGAGGACCTTGACTTGGAGAGAGACCCGCTCCCTGTCACGTTCCGACCCGAACGGACACGTCTAGAGCCATGAGCAGCCTGTAGTGGCGGAGCAGAACGCGTTGGCTCCGCATAATTTATTTCTTGTACAGCCGTGAGCACATCTCTCGATGTAGATATCTTCTCCGAAAGCTTCTGGCTAGTTTCTCGATTCTTCGCGCTCTTGGCTTTCTCCCCTTCCTTGAACGGCAGCTCCTTGTCCGCCTTGGCCAGTCACCGCGTTTCCGTAGAGCAGCTTCGATAATATCTAGGAAGGCCCGATGGGTGACCGGGTCTGGCAGCTTCAGCTGATCCCTGATTGCAGGTGGCAAAGAGTTGATCAGGCGCTGCCTGAGGTACTTGGTATAGACCAAGTACTGAAGCTCGGCGAGGCATTTCGTCAAGCGAGGATGACGTTCGACGTGCACTGTTCCCAGGGTAAGGAAGGCAATCTTTCCACCCCCATCTTCATTGTCGAAGATAGCTGACAGTGCTTCGGCGCCAGCCTTAACCTTGCCATAACCTGTCACTTTTGACTCGGTATGTCGAAGCACGTGCCAGAGCAGGGTCCAGAAGACGGATTCTAAGTCATGCCAAGGCTAATGGGGTGTACCATTCTCTGCGAGGCGATCAATTGACAAGAACTGGAAGGTTCCCTGAGCTGCAGTGTCAGTAGATGATCTATCGTAACCATCATGGCAACTTACAGTAATAAACTTGAGTTCATTGTCGTAATCTGGCATCCCCGGCACAGATGCCAGCTCAGGATCAATGAGAAGTCCCCTGGGGCTTTCCTGGCCCTCTGGAGAAGCATTGATTAAGATGTTGTTGGCGCTAATGTCTTGATGATTGATACCCAATTCGGATAATTCCTGGAGAGCTAAAACATATCATGAGGCGGCTGCAGAATGTGAGGACGCGAATATTACTCACATTTGGCCACGTCGCGTATCACCACCATCAGTTCAAAGGTCGATCCGAAGCGCGAAAGTGGCTTGCCAACGGTGTGCAGAACACATCTGTGGTGAATACGGTCCACAGCGCTCTTACAACCCAGGACCGATTTTACCTGACTGGCTAGGGTCCGGTGAAGGAAACCTGGCTCCTCGATATCCGACGCCGTGAGACATTTGGGAAGGCCGAAAACGTCATCCTTTGCCTTTCTCGCCTTCACTGCCTTCTTGATCTCTTCGTATATCCTGCCTTTCGACCAGGGGTCCGCTTCCCTCCAACCATCCTTGATAATGACGAATTCGATGTTCTGCACGTCTCCATCGGCGGGTATTGCCAGCCACACGCGAGTACCCCGACCAGCGAGCGACCTAGACACGACATGGCGGACCCACACTGAGATATTCCACCGTATCATCGCTTGAAGGAGAGCCGCCCACTTCAATTCGAGCACTCTCTAGATATATTTTATCCTTCTTGGCCATCGATTCATCCAATAAACCCTCGTTCAGAGCAAGGTGGATGGCCCTTTCGAGTCGCTCGTATTCCAACGCTTTTAAATCTGTGATGTCGAGGATGCGACATGCGGTCGCATCGATGCCTCCATTGCGGTATTGGGACATCGCTTTCAGGAACCGAGCCAGAGGTGCAGGATTTGTTCTGTAGTCGAAAGCCTCGGAAACCAGGACGCCAGAACGATCCCAGAGGAAGAGCCGGGCGATCTGCCCAAAAACTCCCACGGCAGCATAGTAGCAGCGTGATTCCATCCGAAGAGCCATAGCTGCATATCCTTGGAGCTGGTTCCAGACATCCACGTTCTTCAAGTTGATCTTACCATCCTTCGCAAGTAAGGTCCTCCATATCACTACGCTTGACTTCAATGAATCCAAGGCCAGATGCCCAAGCTAGTTCCAGATCCAGGTCCTCTGTCTCCGACGTATGAATAGTTATATCAGGTGCAAGGTAAAGACCATCCACTTGAGGCTGCCTTCGGGACATGTCTTTCAGCACTAGTTTCATTGGTCCCATGGCGTACCCTTTGGCTATGCGGCTCTATGCCACTCGCTGTACATACAGAGAGTTAGTATGATAAAGTAAACGTGGTAGATCGAAACGTACCAAAGGCTCATACATTTCCGATTCGTGGATATCAGTCCCCACGGGTACCTTTTCCAGGTCCTTCTTGTAATCCCGGAGAATATGTGGCTCCGGCCCCGTAAGATTCAAGCCAGGAAATGCGAGTTCAAAGAATGTGGACAAATTTGTGTGGCCATAGAAATGATACGATGACTCTTGGCCAGCCCAGTCGCGGTGAGTAGCAGCATCGATTCGTGACTCGACCTCGAGAATTCAAGGGCTTCAAGTGAGGACGGTGGGGAGTAGCAGCCCGACGTTCAAAGTCAACGGAGCGAGAGTAGAGAGCAGAGGTCACATGTTAGATCAACCGTGTAGAGGGATGTTCGAATGGTACCAACCGAAGTGGATTCACAGCGGCTTGAATATATAGTACTGTGACGCATGTTTGTCTCGGGTTAGTCACTGCGTTTGCTGCACTTTATCCCACCTGTGGACAGGCGCCTGGATGACCAAGTTGTCACGAACTATCTACAGACTGAGATACCTTTGTTGTCTAGCCAGTAGATAGCTGCAAGAATGTTCCCATGTCTCAAAGTATCCACACCTGATATTACTGGCCAAGCTGTACCTGAAGATTCATAGGCGAGACGTTCTCGCCTTAAACATCTTGGTGGGGGATAGATTGGGTATCACGGGCTTGGGACCGTAAGCCACGTTGACTGTCTTAGAATAGCCTACGGTTCACGGGGCGACGAGATTCGGACGATCAGATTGATTACATAACATCCGTATATGTGCATCCAATATCTAAATACAGTAACAACGCCACCGACAAGATCATCCCCGATCTTGCTCTACCAGCTCGTACTACCACAGGGAATGGACAAAAGCTGTATCAGAGAGAAGGCAAGTAAGTAAGATTGGCTGAGCACAAAGTGGGACTGGTGAAACCACTCACCGCCTAGCAATACTAGTAGTACTAGTACTGGTACTACACCCAATATCGACGCCACACAGCCGAGATTTACGATGAGGGCTGCTGTCGTCGCAAAAATCAAAGGCTGAGGACACCTGTCAATCCAGATCTTGAACTACAGGTACGATGATCACTCACCAGAATTTTTTTTACCGCTGCAGGCTGCTCAAATACTGCGACAGTGCAACCGTAATGACGAGCTCACCTCCGTCGTACCCCTCGCGCGCAATGGCATCCACGTTAGGAGAGGCAGACGCGCCCCACCCTGACTCTAGCCATCCGCAGGCAGCGGTCTCATTTCCTGGCTAGCATAGCAAATATCTCGCACGCGTCCGAGCGCGATTCTTATAAACCGCTGCGCTTTACCGGGCAACCAGTGTGTCAGCCGGGCTGTCTTGAACTTCCCTGCAGCCTAACCATT